GGCAGTGATGTGCCAGGCTGAAACCAGGAGCTTCTGTCAGATCTCTTATATGGGTGGCAGGGGCTCAGACACTTGGCCAATCCTCCATTGCTTTTCTCAGGCCATCAGCAGGGAGCTGGATCAGAAATGGAGTAGCTGGGACATGAATTGGTGCCCATATGGGATGCTGGCATTGCAGGTTGCAGCTTAAATTGCAAAGCCACAACCATTTTCTAGATCAGAGATTCACACTGTGGGGCCCTTTTCTTTCCTTGTTCCAGCTCGTGGGGACTGAAAGAGATGGGCCATTCCAGCTGCCCTTCCTGCAGTGGGCACTGGTTACAAAGCAGTAGTGTCAGATCATGCAGCTCTAATTGCTCAGGGAGACCCCTGATTCCTGTTGCTTCACCAAGACCTCCCTTTGGAAGAAATCCTAGTTTGGGACCCTGTATGCATGAGTTAGAATTTGCAAGAGCAAACGTTGATACTTATATCATGGGAATAATTTTTATTGATATTTTGAGACTTTCAATGAAGCAACAAGAAGTTAGTCTTGGTATTGATCACGCAATGGTTAGCTTACACCTGAGGTTAACTTGGGTTTGAGTTCCAGCTCCACAGTTTGCTTTCATTTGTGGTAAAATTTGTGTGATTTCATCAAGGACATGAAAATTAGACATTTCTTCTGTCTGTGGAGGAAATTCTAGAGACCCACTTCTTCTATAAACTGTCAGAACATGTACAAGTTGAGACTAAGGCCGGCTTAGTGCAATGGTATTGTACACACCCAACCCAAGCCTTTAATACCTATTTACTGTATTAAAAGCCATTTTGATTGTTCTTGCCCTGAGTTCTCCCTCCAACAGCTTGGAGACAGGCACACTTTAATATTTCTAAGATGTAACCCTAGCTTTTCAAGCCATCTTGGTCTTTGTCAGTCAAAAGCAAAACTGGAGGGAAGGTATCAGGGCAACCCTCTTATTTTAGTGATATCTTCCTATATGTCCATCACTCACAGTACAATGTGAACCTGATCTGCACTTGTTAAGTCTTGATGCTATGAAAAGAGTCTTACCTTATTACAGGTGACTGTTCACTGTGGCAGTGAGACCAAAGGGAAATACACATCATTTTTTTTCTAAGGAAGTTTCAGGCTTTTCATTTAGTTATCTTGAATCTTGTCACTGATCACGTAATGATCCTGAATTGTCTTTTTTTTTTTAAAGATTTATTATTTATTTATTTGAAGGGCAGAATTACAGACACAGAGAGTGAAGGGGGAGAGAAAGAAGTCTTCCAGCCACTGGCTCATTCCCCAAGTGGCTGCAGCAGCCAGAGTTGGGCCAGTCTGAAGCCAGGAGCCAAGAGTTTCTTCCAGGTCTCCCACGTGGGTGTAGGGGCCCAAGCCCTGAGGCCATCTTTCACTGCTTTCCCAGGGCATTAACAGGGAGCTGGATTAGAAGTGGAGCAACCAGAACATGAACTGATGCCCATACTGGATGCTGGCACCACAGGTGGAGGCTTAATTTACTATGCCATAGCATTGGCCCCTGAACTGACTTCTGAGAATCTGAGAATGGATTTGTGATCAACTTTAATCACAGAAATTTCTGCTTATAATGTTCTGACAATATCATTTCAGCTTTTTTTAAACAAATATTTATTTACTTATTTGAAAGAATTACGGAGAGATAGAGAGAGGAAGAGACAGAGATCTTCCATAAGGTTTTTCACTCCCCAAATGGCCACAACAGCCAGGGCTGGGCCAGGCCAAAGGCAGGAGTCCAGAACTCCTCCCAGGTCTCTCATGCGAGTGGCAGGGGCCCAAACACTGGGGCTATCTTCCACTGCCTTCCCAGGCTCACCGCAGGCAGCTGGATTGGAAGCAGAGCAGTTGGGTCTGGGAACCAGCACTCATACAGATGCTGGGATGTAGGTGGTGGCTTAACCCACCACACTGTAACACCAGCCCTACCCAGGTTTTAGCATTATTCAACCTTGATTTCTCTGTTGCCCTCATTGTTTATTTAATTTTGTCCAATACTGTTATAAAATAGTATATTTTTGTCAGCCTCCACAAATCCTTTCTATGAGGAAAAATTTGAACAAACACTAGTGAAATGATATGTCCAATATGATGGTGATGGTCTCTTTTTTACATGAATGTATTTTTTAAAATCAATTTGTCTTTTTCATACTATGTTAGTTTTGTCCAAGATGTTGGGGTCACTCAAGACTGGTCTTGGAAAGTTACACTCTGCCCTATGGCCGAGTTCTCCCCCCACTCTTTTTTTCTTCCTTTCGCCTTCGTTCTGCATGCAGACCTCTCTCTATTCTGGGTCTGTCTCCCAGGCGGCCCCTGGCGGCACCGGCGATAACGCTGGACCGTGCCTGCTCCAGCAGAGAGGCTAACCCAGAGCATGGTCAGCACTAGCTCCAGGCCCAGCCCCGGCCCCTAGGATGCAGCGAATTGTGCAACTCCCTGCTCTCTGGTTTGTTTCAAGGGAGCTGACAGATCCTCACGGAAACATTGCCAAGAGTGGTATGCTGAAAGGGAATAGCCACAGGACCTCCCCCACGGAGCGTTTACGTCCCTATCATTAATCTTTGTAACACTCCTCTGATAGAGGCACCAGAGGAGGCCAGGTCCTGATGCCAGCCTTTCACTGACGAGGGGGTGGGGCAGGCCTGGGGTTGTGCGTGGTCTGGGCAAGGCCAGGAGAGGAGAAATCCCAAGGCCCAAAAGGCTGCTACAGCACACAGCCTCAGTAGTGGCATCTGAGCAAATGCAAGCTTTGTTTTATGCAGGCGTGTTTAACTTTTAGATGGGGAACTCCATTTTTAGCTACACATTTCTCCTTCCGACTGGCTGGGCTCTTCCGCCCAGCCCCCAACACCCAACACTAAGTGTTGTGCTGGCCCTGGCTACCAGTGGGTTGAAATTCCAGGCCTGCAGGCATAGGGTTTTCAGAAGTCTCAGCCTCACAGACATGCTCTGACCACCAGTCTCAGATTTCCTGGGCTGTTTGCTGGGACCCCGCACCTTCTCCAACCCTGTATTCACACAGGTGCTCGGCGTAGGTCACTAAAAATGAGACGGTGGCCAGGTGGATGCTGAGGCCAGTCTCGCACAGCTGCGCACCATAGACGCACATTCGCTTTAACATTCTGCAGCCTGATGGCTTCCCCCACTCGTGTGGCTTAGTGGCGAGGTAAGGACACTGATGAGGAATCTCCTAGCCGGGGCTTCTTGTCTGTAGAAGGAACACCCGCAATGGAACAGTGGAAAACAACGATTGGGAAAGATGAGGAAAAAGGTAGCAGGTTAGCAAGAGAGAGCAATAGGTAAGAAAAATAAAAATGGAACCTCTTCTAGGGTGAGTCATTTCTTCCAGGATGGAGAATACCCTGATGGCACAGTCTAAAGTGACAGGGTTTTCGGAAGCACCGGGATAGGTTTATTTGTCACATGCTTAGGGAAGTCTCTTTAGGAATCCCGACAACTGCTGTGAAATAGATTCCTAGTTACTAAGAAAGTGAACAGCACTAGAAAGTTAAAAATGTAAAACTCTGTGCAATAATTTATTTAAAAAGCAATAGCGGTTCAAGTCTATTGAGCTCTGAAATATTTCAAAAGGGCATGGAAAATTTCTTAAAATTTCTCAAAAATTCATGGAAAATATTCTCAAAATAGCCAGTTAAGAGGATTCTGAATGTTCCCAACACAAAGAAGTGGTAAATAGTTGAAGTGATGTCTATGCTAATTAATTTGATCATTATCCATTGTATACATGCATTAAAATATCACACCTTACCCCATAAATACATTTATTACATGTCAATCATGCATAAACATATATTTAAAAGTTCGTGGAAAATGGAATTAAATGAACAGTTTATTTCAGGGCAAAAAACTGACATCCATGCAGATTTTTCATAAACTCCCATCCCATTATACACAACTCCACGAACTTGTTGAAGACTCCAGGTATATACCAAACACTGTGTAAAATACTTTCTGTGCATTATTTCTTCCAATACCCATAAAAGGTAAGAGGACGCTATTCCCATTTTATAGATGAGAAAACCAAGGTTAAGTACCTTGCCTACGTCACTCACGGAGGGAGCCACAGGACCTGGGTTTGACTCTGACCCCAGGATGGTTAATTTCAAGTTTTGCCAGGTTCTGAAGTGTCCCTTCAATCACTGAGTGAAAGTGTACTTCTGCTGGGTTAGCCGGCAGAGCCATATTTTAACAGCCTCTCTCAGGGTCCTTCCTCTCTGGAGAGGGTGGAGAAAAAAAAAAAACAACAAAACCCTAAGGTTCAAGGGATTTTGTGGGAATCGCATGAAATCGCGGACATGGCAAAGCTGCGGGCACCGTGGAGCATCCAGAGAGAAACGAGGGTCTCATTGCAACTAAAACCATCAACGTGTGTGTGATAATGGCGTGAATTCCCTGTCGACCGGGATCTTCTGTACATCAGAACACCTGCCTACCTAGCCGATGTGCATAGCTGGAACTGTGGACCCGCTACCTTTCCCGCTCCTCGTCCTGAGAGGCGCAGGCCCCCGGCACACGTGAAGGCTGTGAAACCTCGCACCTGTGCGTGTCCTGACCGCGCCCAGAAGCGCCCAGAAAACGCCAGGCTGCGGTGCGGGCGCAAAGTACAGCAACGCCAGTCACCTGAGCCGGCCGACGTGCCGCCCACGCTCCCAGGTCCGCACGCGGGCTGCAGGCGGCCAGCCCGTGGCCGGAGCTCCCCAGGTGTCCAGCCTCACGGGCTCGGACGCGCTTTAATAAGCCGCTCAAGGGCTACGCAGATCTCGCTGGAGCGGCGCGGTTCACCCGGCGCTGGAAGACCCGAGCGCTTGTCGGAGCTCAAGTGCGCTTTCGAGTCTGAGAACGCTAACGCGGGACCCCCGCCGGGGCCTCGCGATGTCTGTCCCCGACCTAAGCCAAAACTGGGGGCGCTGAGAAGCCACGAACGCGTCCTTGAGCGGCAAAGGCAAGCGACGGCCTGTCCGCGGGCCTCGGAAACGCCTGACGCGCGGAAGGAAGTGTGTTAACCCCTCTCCGCCGCGCTTCCAGGGCCGGGAGGCGGCTGCTCCTCCTCCTCCTCATCGTTGTCGTCGTGAGACCCTGGTGCAGGATGCAAGCCGCTGCCTGCTGTCCACACCCTGCGCGCCTCTCCCGAAGGAGGAGGAAGAGGGAGGAGGCGAGGCGGGCGCAGTCCCAAGCTGCGTGCAGCCAGCCTGTCCCCTCGGCGAGAGCGCCCCGACCACACGGTCCGGGCCCAGACCCAGGCCCCCAGTTTGCTTGCCTCTGCTGAGTGTGCACCCAGCACCCTAAATCCCGGCTTAATCGCCGTCCGCACACGCACAGCGCTCCGAGGCGCTGCGCCCCCGTGCAGGTGGCGCAAACGCCCCTGCCTTCCGCCGCCCCCTGCCGGGCAGCGAGAAAGGCGGCGGCCGCGGAGCCGCCGTGCGCAGCTCCGGGAGAGCTCTCCGGCGCCGGGAAGAAGCCGGCAGCGTCCCCGATGGTGCCGCCGCCTCCTCCGTGCCGGGGAGCAACGGCCAGGGGGCAGCTGGGCAGGAGTCTGGGTCCGCTGCTGCTGCTCCTGGCGCTGGGACACGCGTGGACCTACCGGGAGGAGCCCGGAGACGGCGACAGGTAAGCGCGGCCAGCCCAACCCGGTCCGCCGCTGCAGCCAGCCGCACGCCTTCGCTCCCCGAGCCCCCGGCCCGGTGCTCGGTTCTGCCGGGCCACGTTCAGCCCCTCTCCCGGGTAACGGCTTCCCCGCCGTCAGCCCGCCTCGCCCACCCGTGGGTCGGGCGCCTTAGCCACGGGCCGTGCTCGAGAGCCTCGCCCCCTCAGCTTCTCCTTCCTCCTGGGGCTGGGTGCGCCGCCGAGACCCTCGCCTGCCTCGCGGAGGGCCTCGGGGACCGGCTCCTGCCCCGCGCGCGCGCGCGCTTCCCTGCGCTCTGGGCCACTGACTCTTGTTCTCCAACTGTTTCCCAGGGAAATCTGCGCGGAGAACAAGATCGCCACGACCAAGTACCCGTGTCTGAAGCCTTCGGGCGAGCTCACCACGTGTTTCAGGTAAGCCCCGGCTGGCCGGAGACGCGCGAGGATGGGGCACGCGTGCCCGCCGGCCGCGCTGGCTGAGCGCTACCCAGTGCAAACGTGTGTGCGTTCCGGGGGCTGGGGTAGCGCTCGGTAGCCGGGTTTGCGAGTGGATCGTTTACCGCTCGCTGGAAGACTTGTCGGACAAGGTGGGAAGGGGAGACGTTGCCGGGTCACGCAGGGGAGTGGACTGGGTTCAGTGTGAGCGGTGGGGCCTGGGGAAGTTGAGTGGCTGCTTATGCGTCTGGGTTCCGTTTTGAAAATCCAGCTAACGAGGGAGAACTGGCGCTTGGCTGTCCCTGACCTGTGGGGACACAGTGTGTCACCGCCGCCTCCGGTGTGTGTGTGTGTGTGTGTGTGATAGGGTTGTGTTAAGGGGAAAACGTGAAAATTCGAGACACAAAAAGGCGCGGTCGTCTGGAGCACCCAGCTGGTGATCCACCTGGGTGCTCCCTGAAGCCTGGATGGAGCCGGGGCGCCTGTAGTTCTGAAAACATCCCCAGGGGGGCTCTTATCTCCAGCAAGAGATAAGCCCAGAAGCCTGCTGAACCCGGAAGGAGGGAGCCACTGTCCGGCTTGCAGCCTCTTAGGAGGTGGGGGCTGATACGGCTCTCTCATCGCTGAGTTCTTGGCTTTGGTTCCAGTGCGTTCACTTGGGTGGAGAAGGCACAAGCTCTTCGTTAAGCGTTTTAAAAAACAGGGTGCAAGGTGCCGGGATTGGGGGCCCGTGCCACCCTGAGGGCCATGCACTTTGCTCAGCACTGGGTGTTACAGGGTAACAGTTCTTACTGTTTGCTGTAGTTGATGAATCCGCCAATGCTGTGGGCTACAAGAAAGCTTATTTAACTTGGTGCTCTTAGGCGAGCGGTTCCAGGACTGGTTGGTTCACTACCCTGAGTTAGGTCACATACTTGTGCTTTTAAATAGGCCCTTAGTGATGAATGACAAACACTGAGTCAACAGTCACGCCTTGGGCTTGGGAGAGGCTGCCTTCGGGCACCTATGGGTGAGCTCTGAGCAGAACAGGAGTTTGGTAGAAGAGAAAGGAGTACATCCAACCGGCAGGTGAGGATGATTGAAGTACAGTAGGGGAGCAAGGTCACCCAGCTGGTGAAGTGACCTGGGAGCGATGGCTGGGGGGCTATCCGCCTGTTTCCAGCCGTGTTTTACCCATATGACCCTGGCATTTTTTTTTAAACTTATTTACTTAAGAGGCAGAAGGAGAGACGGAGGTCTTCCATCCTCCTAGTTCACTACCCAAAGGGCTGCAAGGGGGCAGAGCTGGACCCAACTGAAGCCAGGAGCTGCTTGGTCTCCCAGGTACAGGGGTCCAAGCACTTGAACCGTCTGCTTTCCCAGGCCATAAGCAGAGATCTGGACTAGAAGTGGAGCAGCTGAGACTTGAACCGGTGCCTATACGGGATGCCGGTGCCACAGGCAGATGCTCAACCTACTATGCCACGACGCTGGCTCCTACCATAGTAATTCTTTTTTTTTCCTTTGGAATTTTTTTTAACTTTTATTTAATGAATATAAATTTCTAAAGTACAGCTTATGGATTACAATGGGTTCCCCCCCCCCCCATAACGGCCCCTCCCACCCGCAAACCCTCCCCCTTTCCCACTCC